TTGCAACATAAAAGAGGTCTGATGACAGTGACAGAGCTGAGCAGGGACCCAGACATGCTGACGGGAAAGCCAGAATTAGGCCGGAGCACTGGACTCGGCTCCATTTAAAAGCCTAATGCTTTGCCTCTCTCAGTGTGGGACTTTGTGGTATGCAGGGAGATTTTTACGAGGCTGAAGAAACAGTGGAACCAGAGGGCAAGTTGGAAATTGCAAAATTGTCAGAAGTTGCAGCTAAAACTGTCTTCATTAAACTGTTAAGTTTGCTGTGTTTTCTGACATAAGCAAGGGTTGAATTTTAACTTTTAAAATTTAGAGTAAATGCTTAGTGTTTAAATTAAAATTGAAATGCCTATTCCCTTTAGAAATTTTTCAATTTTTTTTTCCCGCTAATAGGTATTTGCTTTTCCTGTTTACTAGATATACACTCAATACATTTGTCCACCTATTTAAATATAAAACAAGACTGGACTGTAGCTCAGTGCTAGAGCATGTGTCTAGCATGAGAAGCGCTTGGATCCAATACCCAACACAAAAATGAAGCAAACAACAAAAATTAAAAGTCTAACTTTTTGGTGACTGCCATCTTTGCTTATGTACTGAAAAAAAGATACAAAATAGTAATATGAAAAGCCATATTTCATGTAGTCTCTCTCATGTGTAACACTGGAAACCTCATTGCTTTAAATTCTTGGAAGAAATGCTTTTCTTTCTTAACACCACCTAAATTATAAATTATAATTATTTTCATTTTAAAACATGGTCTGATGTAATTTTCAGTTGCCATATTATATCTGTTCATATTAACGAGTGTATATGTCCTTGACATATAATCTTTGATATTATAAGGGAATTAATGAGATGTTAAACTATTTTATTTATGAGAAGAGAAGAATTTTGGTTCCAAAAGAACTTAGCCCAAGGGAAAGATTAATTATAGCCTAGAAATATGAAAGGAAATTTACATAGAAATATTTTAAAGTAGAGAAAACTTTGAAATAACATACTTCAAATGTGCTTATTATCACGAGACTGCCACAGAGTCATAAAAATGAGCTAGAGTATGAACTATACTACCCATATCACCCTAGTCCCTACCCTGTCAATTGTACTCTTTCTGTCTTTATAAATTTATTTCATTGTATGCATCTCTGTAATTATTCTGATAATTATATTTAATTCAGCTTAAATTTACATAAATGGTAGTGTATGCATATTTCTGGAATGTTGATGAATTAGTGGAATATGGCAGTTTAAACTAACAAGCTATGTCTAATAGAGACATAAATGTGGAAATCACTGAGAATGACAATAAACATGAATGGCATTGCTTATGAGTTACTATTACCTCTGAATAGAAAGTAATTAAAGGAAAAAAGTCCGGGAGAGTTGGGGGAAGATATTTATTATTGGAAAATCAGGAATTTAATTTTCAAATAGTAAGGCATTTAGGTCAGGTAATTTTTATAAAGTGACAGAAAAACCTGACAACATAGAAATGTTTTTCTTAAGCAATAATGGAAGTCTCAAGTAATGGCCCATGCATTCCTGTAATCCTGCCAGCCCAGGGGCTGTCACCCTCAATTTAGTAATGTTTTAGGGACCACACCTCAGGTAAAACTGCATCCTTGACCTCTCCACAGAAAAGAGTTTCTGTACAAGCCAGTATGAATCAGAGTTAGAGATTGTTAAATGGCATTTTTTTTGTTCTGAACAACATTAAACTTCATTAAATAAAAATTGTATAAACACTGTACAATAATGAACAGAAAAGTTAAATATAATTTATCACATGTAAAATGGATTATTATATAATTAGCAATATCAACCCTAAATTCCCACTTCCACAATGGGAATGGGATACAGCAATATTGATCTAATGGATTAAGTAAAAAACATAACTTTAAATTGAATAAAACTTTTCAAATAATTCAATATAGCCCTAGCAAAGCTGAGGTTTGGATTCAATGAGACCTGGGATAAAAATGAATATTTACCATTATAGTTACTTCTAATCAACTTCCAAAAACTAAGGCAAATCTCCTTAATTCTGGGAAAGAATGAGTCTCTAAGTAACCATGATGCTTTTCTTAACAGTCCTGGACAGGCAGTCAGTAGCGTGGCCACAGTTCTGCATCCTATGCAAGTCCAGTAGAGTGTGATGGGTCAGAAAAGCATCAGTCTGTGCAATTCATTGTCCTTTCTTGTACTATTTTCAAGCTTTAGAAAATACATTAAAAACAACAACAACAACAGAAACCTCCTCCATGTACAACTCCGGCATTAGAGATGCTAGTCAACACTTCCTGCCTCCACTTGCTGATGTCCGTCCTGATCTTCAGAAGGGGATGACATTAGCATTCCTTTCAGGAATAAACAGTTCACCCAAGGAATAGAGTTGGTAATTACAGAATATTGGAAAATGACAACATTGAAAACGGAAATACCAGGACAAAGGTGGGACAGAGATCGAGTCTGAAGCTTTGGGACAAGGTAAAAAAAATGAAATGCCTGGATGAGGGTGGAATGGATTTGGAGTTTGAAGAGCCCAGCAAAACTCGGAAGAGGATAGATACCTCAGGAACAGCAAGACCTAGATCTTCAAAGTCAACAGCCAGGCAGGAATCAGCTACGGAAAGTCTAAAACAACCAAAGCCCCTAGAGTGGCCACAGGTCCCCAGGAGCAGGCTGTAACTGGGAGAGAGTCTGCTGATGGTAGCAGGGGTCACGTTGTCAGTAGGATTCGTTGAGAAAAAGACACATCACGACCTTGGTGACAGTCCTGGCACTAACACAAGCCCTGAACTTGCCCCTAGAAAACAGTAGAAGAATTAAGTTGGAGCTGGGGTCACAGATGTGTGGTTTTTCAGTGGGTGCAGGAATCTGAATGCAGTCGCCATATTATACAACGAACACTTTACTGATTATCTCCGGCCCCTGGAGCAGCTCTTCATCTACTTTCAAAAGTACAGAGATACTTTACAAAAGTGTGAGCAAAGTAAATGGCATTTTTACTATAGAGTTTGAACACAAGGGTTGAGAGAAAGGCTCTCATGAAACAAGACATAGCTGAGCATGAGTGTGGGCTTCTGTGAGCCCATGTGACCTTCATATATGGTCTACCCGTAATAATGTCTTCCAAATCCAATACTGAATTGTACATGTGTGCTATGTTTAGCAGAATGTGAATGCATTTTTAAACATAAATATATCACTCAAAAAAAGTATCCAGGTCCCTTGGTGAACTTTGATAATAGATTAAAATGAAGATTTTGTTAATTATTAATACCTTTTTATTATTCAGTATCCCACTGTTTTCTTCCTGGTTCCATAATTACTGTGTGCAAAACTACCTATGATTTTTAAAAAGCTTATTTTTATGTATCTAAATGCCCTTTATTATGAAAATACAAAAAATGATTTTTTTTTTGTTCTCAAATGGCAGTTGAAAGAAAGCCCAAATATGTCTTAAAAGATGTATTAAAACTGGCTTTAAATAATGAGCCACGTCTGTAACGAGCAGAAACCATTGCTGTCCCAAGCCTCGGTGTCTCCCAGCCTGCCTCTCTTCAGTGTCAGTGCTGTGGGCATGTGCACTTCTCAGACTGTAGAGCCTCATAAACAGCAACATCGCTTGCGAAAACGCAAAGCTGTATGGGCTGAGAACATACTGTGGCTCTTTTACAAGCCTTTTAATTTTCATGTGTTCTTAATAACCATACTTCTTGAACATAATAAAATGAGAATGTAATTTAACATTTTTATGATGAAAAAAGAAAGTATGTGCCCCTCCTAATTATAGGATGAAGGTACTCTTTCCATTGTGAACACATTACCGTCACTTTAAGCACTTGGAAAGGCGAATAGTACAGCTATCATACCTCATCTTACTATGTGTCCAATGTTTAGAAAGTCTTGCCAGTGAAAATTTCTGTTTGGATAGTGTGTATGCAAGTACACAAGTCCTGTCCAAGGATGAACAGGGTGTTCTCGAGAAATCAGGCTATTGAATTAACATGGGCTGCATAGCCTGGATTAGCTAATGTCTGTCTATTGTAGGTAGACTCTAGCTTTACAAAGCATGTATCTCTAAAGGTTTCTCCCAAAGCTAGTACTTCTGCTTTAAGTGTAGTCATCTGTCAATGATTGTAAGGTGGGTAGACCAGCTACTAGATCCCAACTGATATTAGATGGTTTGTTGTTGGTTTTGTTTTGCTGCCTTTGGTATTTCAGAATATTTAAGAGAAACACAGATCTATTCTTGATGGCCTCCACAGATAAGAGCTGTCAGATTGGTAGATAAATGTCTGTTAGCTGGTTACCATTTTTAATGTGCTGATATTGGTTATCTTACAGTAATTAGAAACCTAATAAAAATGGAAAATAACCATTAATATGTACATTTGAAAAACAAAATCAAAACATGAGATATACTAGAGGAGCATAATAAAAGGAGTCCCTGGCGAATTTTTTGATCTTTAAAAAAAAGCAACAACTTTATGTGCATGAGTGTTTTGCCTACCTGTGTGTCTGGGCACCCTGTGCCCTCGGAGGCCAGAAGAGGGCATCAGATCCACTGAACCTGGAGTTATAGATAGTTGTGAGCTACCATGTGGGTGCTGGAAATCCAACTTGTGCTTTTAACTACTGAGCCATCTCCACAGCCCCCTTGGTGATTTTTTTTTTAAAGAAAGGAAAAACCCATCACTACTTGCTAAAGAGGCACATTCTACAAAACATCTAAATCTTAAGTGTTGGGTTACATTTGGAGGGGGATTGAGATTTCAGAGAGAAAACTCTCAAAGGTCTTCTGGGAACCACCCAAGTGAGTGCTGCCTCCTTTCCTACCTTTACCTCCATCCCAGGGTGTCAAAAGGGGCTCCATGCCACAGCTGGTCCTGACTGGCTGAAGCTGAGGATGGCACTGTGCCTAGCTTGTGAGAGTAAAATCACCTTCATGAATAGCTTTGTGTAGAAGTAACAATTGTACTTTCTCCTAACAGCGGTGACGTCTTACGAAGATCTTGGACTCTTTGCATTTGGATTAGCTGGAAAGGTAATTTCATTGTCTCGTCCTGGGGCATTTCTCTTCTCCTTCAAGTTAAAAAAGCTGTATAAGTGAGAAAGACCTTAAGAGATGGAGAGGATACAAAAGTAAGAAGAGACGGGACAATGGGATGGGAAAATAAAGAAAAATGTGCGCTCTTCCAAGGCACATCTGTAAGCCAGTTTGGTTTCTAAGTCTTGTCACTGATTCGATGAGCTGCAGGAGTAATGGGACCCTTAGTTTTCCTCATTAGTTTTGATCAGATCCTCTGAGTAAATCTTTAAAGGGAAGAAAACAATATAGAATTAAAATTATAACCTGGCTATTTTCAAAAGCAGTAATTACACAGGCAGTATTATTTAAGAGCTGAACAGTGTTGAAAGATTGCCTGGCTGTCTCCTTGTTTACAGTGTGAAAAAATGAAGGTCCAAAGCTGTTAAAGGACCTCTTCTCAACTGTTACCCAACACCAGTTCCACAGCTGAGGACTGTAGACACTCCATCTGCTGGGTTTCCTTCTTAGAATAATGAAAAATAGAGCAAACTGTTATTGGCACTGAGTTTCGGTGGTTTTCTAACTTTACACTTGTAGATAAACGTTTTTCAAGCAGAGTACCAGGGCTTCAGCAGTGCTTTTAGTGTTACAGTTAAGTTGCTTTTCTGTTTCAGTGTCTGAAGAGCTACCTGTATTTTTGGTTCTAAACAAGAATTCTTCTGATTGTAAATCTTGGTACTTTCTGTTTGCATTTGTTTTAAATTAACAAACAAGTAAGTCATATACATATATGTCATGTACTTGGTACTTTGAAACAGGTACGCATTGTAGAATGGCTAACTGAGCTAATTAACTTATGAGTTGCCTCACACATTTATTCTGTTTTTAATCTAAGTGGATGCCATGCTGTAAATGGCTAAACTGATTTCTAAGGGGTGAGTCTTGGAGGAAGATGCAGCTCTGCCGCAGGAAGAGAAGCTGTATCTGCTTCCAGTTACCTTTACTCTTGAAATGTTGAGGGGGTATGTAAACCTCAGTAACACCAGGGCTTATAGCCTCATCAGGGCTTATAGCCTCATCTTTTAAACCTCAAGCAAATAGACAGCGTGGTGCTTGAGGGTATGGGTTTTGTTAATCGTCCCCAGGAACATTTTCTTCCTGGAGAGCAGAGTGTTTAGTATGTCTGGTTCATTCCCTCCATGTAGTTTAACCAAAGAAGAAATGTATATGACAGAGCCCCAGATAGGGCTAAAAAAAAGCACGTGCTGTGCAAGCATCAGGACCAGAGTTCAGATTCCAGCACCTGTATAAACCAGGGCACGGCAATATATTCCAGTGACCTCGGTGCTGAGGGAGGGGTGCAGAAGCAGGAGGATTCCAGGTTGTGGGGGAAGGGGGCAGAGGAGTTGCTGGCCTGTCAGCCTCACCCAAACAGCCAACTCCAAGTTCACGGAGAAGCTGTGTCTCAAAAAGTGAGGTAGAGACTGGGACAGGGGAGGATTCCTGCAGTCAGCTTTGGCCTTCACCTGCGCACTTCCTAACATACAGGGAACAGCCTATCTAATGCATGGGTGTATGCATATGCATACAGCAGGTAGGTCCACAGCAACCAAAGAAGACAGGAAAGAGGACTCCCTGGTGATTTACTGTGACTGTGGGTGAGAATCCATGCTCATCACTGACACTACCTTCAGCTCGCAGTAGTAGTATCATCCCTGCAGAGCAGCACAGTCTCAAAGAGCGTGGACTGTGGAGTCTCTTTCCTGAATGTGAGCGGCTTCATCTTCAGTGACGTCATTAACATGCACTGGGCAGAATGTATCCAGAGTGAGGGCTTTTTAGATTCTGCTTGTATTTCTTCCCCATCTCTATAACTGGCCTGAAATCTTCCCATTGTCTTGATGTGTGGTTGGATGATATTATTCTGTGAATCAAAGAAATATTTTTGAAAATTTTAAGGAATATTTTATATTATCTTTAAATGTGTATATTTATCAGATAAGCATGTATTGAGCAGTGCTATGGCCATACACTATAGTAGGCATAGAAGATGGACAGACATTCATTCTGGCTTTCTAAACATTAAATACCTAAATTTAGCCAAGGAATGGAAAGGGGGTTAGTGCTTAAATACTGTATTTGCAGTATATTTGTAGAAAATAGAGGTATTTCATGTGTGTGGCCAGGGGCTTTCATTTGCACTGTGGGTGATATACACAAAGTCAGAACAGTCTTCCCACAAATGACTGGATTTCAGGAACTTATATCTAAGCTTACATGCTGTGGGAGTCCAGCTCCAACCTGTTCCCACCTTTCCAAGGGTTCTTGGGTAGAAGAGAGAGGAATTAGGAAATATTAGGTAGAAAGATAGAACTAGACGATGAGGAGAAAGACAGAGACACAGGATAGCATCGGGAGGACCTGGGTCAATACCCCACAGCCCAGCTTTATTCAAAAGGGCTGTTTATAATATGCCAAGGGGAGAGGCAAAAGACCTCCCCCTTATAAGATCAAAGCACACCGTACAGCCAAGTGTAGACCCTTCTAAACACCTGATAAACACTCCCATGGCCACATCATCTCCTATGTAGCCCTGCTGGGGAAAGCAAGCTCAGATTCTCCGACCTGAGTAATTCTGGCCCCCTACAAGATGCAAACTGCCTTCTAGAAAACACCAGAATGGCCATGACCACTGTCTTAGTTACTATTGCTGTGATGAAACACCACAAAAAGGCAAGCTGGGAAGGAAAGGGTTTATGTGACTTACACTTCCAGAGAACAGTCCATCACTGTTGGGGGAAGTCAGTGGGGGAACTCAAACAGGGCAAGACCATGGAAGCAAGAGTTGATGCAGCAGCCGTGGAGAGGTGCTAGTTACTGGCTTGCTCCTCATGGCTTTCTTAGCCAGTTTTCTTATAGAACTCAGGACTGCAGGCCTGGGGATGGCACCACCCACAATGGCTGGGCCCTCCCACATCAATCACTACTTAAGAAAATGCCCTGCAGGCTTGCCTATGGTCCAGTCTTATGGAGGCATTTTCCCAATTGAAGCTCCCTCCTCTCAGATGACTCCATCTTGTATCACGTTGACATAAAACTGTCCAGCACACCTGAATCTCTAGAGACCTTGCCAGATTTCCAGACCATTAGGCTTCCCCTGCATCTGCAAGGACTCCAGGTCCCGATGCTCTGACCAGGAGGAAATCCCCATAGAGGTGAGCCTGCAGTATGACCTGTCCTCAGTCCACAGAGGCCTGAATGATACAGGTAGTTAGTCAGCTCCAAATGTCTGCTGGTGCTTACAGCCCAGGGGTTTGGTGGTCAGGAGGCCTGAGAGAGAATATATATTTAAACATTTCCTTCAAATTCCCCACGAGTCTCATCCCAGACCAGAAACAGACTGAGCATAGTCGTTGGGCATTTTTTGTTTAGTTCAGACCTTTTTATTTTTAGCCAGTTGCCAACTTTTATACTCTTAGGAGTGTGAAATTCAATTTCTGACTTACTAAATACTAGATGATCTGGCTCTATTGGCCCCACTTCCTCACATGCCGTCAACCAGCCAGACTGAGGAGAAAGAGTCTCAGCTTCCTGTTGCCCTCGCCACCACCTGCTCTTTTACACTTAGCTTACTTCACATTTTTAGTTTGAAATACATGGCCTAAATTCTCCAGATCCGGTCATTGTGCAGTAGAGTTTTCTGCTGTAGGCTGTTGAATCTTTGAGACTAGGATGTCCAAATATGGGGGTCTGTGCCAGGCTGCTGGCAGAAGATCATCCATTCCGTCTAGGTAAAGTGGTTGACACAGTCTGTTTTGGGATACCTACTAAAGCAATGTGCTAAAGCCAGGAAGAAAGGGATCAGGACTTCCCAGATTCAATGCCAGTTTATTAATCATTGGTAATCACAGCTTACTAGCTTTATTACCTTTTTTAGGTATTCAAACATGACTGCTAAGAAATATCTTTATAGTAGCTATGGAGGTATTAAGGAAAGACTTTTTATGATATTTATTAATTTTACATAGTACAGAGAGCTGAGAGAATTTATTCTTACCAGTATCTCTTCAGTCATGAGTCATGTATCTGTCTTTGTTGTATTGGTTATTAATTTTAATAAAACCCTCTCCTTTTCTACTGTTTCTCCTTTTATCTTCTGAATGCATGTGTTCTTTTTTAGGTGGTGGTGGCGGGCACCATAATAATTCAGAATATTGGAGGTAAGCATTGAGAATGGATTATATATGCATATAGTAATGGAACTGGTTGTTCCCTGGCCCCTTGCCTTCCTACAGGTCTAGTAGGGACACTAAATCTCTGTAGATGTAGCCATCTTCAGAAGTCCCCTTTTCTTGTCTTCTGATCTTTCTTGGATCTTTTTAGTAGCACTGGTAAATATGCTTCTAACTTCAGCTTTAGCCAAATCTTGATCGCAGTCTTCTTAGGCCTCCATGGCTGTGATGGTGAGAGGGTGCAGTTTAGAAATGCTCCCAAAGTGATTTCTGAACAATTTTCCCTCTGCTTTCACCCCCTTAATCATTCCCACTGACAAAAACTTCTTTAGAGGGAATAGTGCCCCAAGGACTGTGTGAACAGTCAGCTATGCCCAATGTCCCCTTGGAGCTAAGAAATTAAAAATGACCAAGTAGTTTATAATATGTCTAAGGACAAGAGGCATCTTCAAGTTTATCTTTCCCTGGTTCCTACTAAAAATTGATCATACAACCAGAGGTGGAAGTTTTTCTCCTGCCTGCCTGTTCTCCAATACCCAGCAGCTGTTTCCCAAATAATTGACTCGGAGGTTTAATATTACTTATAAACGCTCAGCCAGTAACTCAGGCTTATTACTAGCTAGCTCTTACATTTAAATCAAACCATAATTTTTATCTATGTTTAGCCATGAGGCTCGGTACCTTTTCTCAAAATGGCATTCTCATCTTGCTTCCTCTGCATCTGGCTGGCAACTCCTGACTCTGCCCTTCCTCTTCCCAGCATTCTTACTTTGGTTGCCCCACCTACACTTCCTGCCTGGCTACTGGCCAATCAGTGTCTTATTAAACCAATTCAAGTGACAAATCTTTACAGTGTACAAGAGAATTATGCCACAGCATACAACTGATCCTAATTATGAGAACTATGTAGAAATAAAAATCACTGTTAATTATAGACAGTTGACTGAGTGTATTAAACATTTAACTCCAAAGTATGAGAATTGTATGTACATGTTGTAAAGAGATTGCAGAGAGCTGAGCTGTGTGTTCATTTCTTTTTATCACCAGCTGGAATGCTAAGTAAATACTGTCAGAGTCGTAGAAAACCCATGAGGAAGTGATGTGCACTTTGGATCTTACACAAGATTGTATGCTCACAAGAAATTTTAATCATTCTTTTACATCTAATAATTTAAATAACTGAGAGATGATAAGTTAAGATCTGAGCTATTTCACTCTAAGTATTAATCAACTAAACTGTATCTTTAGTGAGTATTTTGGTGGTGGGGGTTCCAGTCAGTGAGTCTTTTTGGAATCCTGAATGTCCACATTTTAATGCTTTGAATTTTTATGAAACGGTGACTTCATACTTCACTCATGAAACCAGGAACACTAACCTCATCCCTTGGGAATTTTTGCTGTGCAATTGATTTCAAGATTTGTTGCGAAATACTTTTAATTAGCAAACATGTATTGCTTAACTGCTTAGTGATGATTCTTCTGTAGGCCCTCATTAAGACCTATCAGACTTTGTTCAGATGGGATTGAACCATTGTTTAATAATTTATTTTGAATTTTTAGTTTGGGGATTCAAATCCAAGCTTTTTACCTGGCATGATGCCCCCTGTTGTGTTTCCTGTAGTTTCCACCCTGGAAGCTCCTTTTCTCTCTTCTGCGCTCTAAGTTTTTCCACAGCTTATGTCCATTCCTCTTTGTACTCCTAGTCACCAACACAATGTCTGGAACCTTGTTGGATTGAGAGGCACTTAAGTGATTAGTACTCTTATCTAAGTATTTGGGAGCTGGAGAGATGGCTCAGCGCTTAAGAGCACTGGCTGCTCTTTTAGAGGACCTGGGTTCACTTCTCAGCATCTACATGGCAGCTCACAATTGTCTGGAACTCAAGTTCCAGAGGGATTTCATGCCCTCTTCTCGCCTCCAAAAGCACTACATGCACATGGTACACAAACATACATGTCAGCAAAACACCATACAGATTTTTTTTAAGTGAAAATAAGTGGGAAACAGTGGGGCTGGGAAGATAACTCAGTTGGCAAGGTACTTGCTTCACAAACAAGAGGCCCTGAGTGCAGATTCCCAGCACTCATGAGCAGCCGGTGTGAGGATACACACCCTCACCCCAGTGCAGAAGCAGAGTGAAGGAAGATCTCTGGGGCTCTTTGGCCAACAAGTATAGCTGAATCCATGAGCTCCAGGTTCAGTTAGGTACCCTGCCTTAGAAAACTAAGGTAGAGAGCAGTTGAGAAAGTTACCCTCTGTTGACCTGTGGTATGCACACAGACACAGAATGTAGGTCCATCACTAATGTCAAAGCTGACCATGAAAGATAAAGAAACTGGGCTAATCCAGTGTTTTCTTGAGAGAAAAATTGGTTCTGATGTATACAAATTCACAGAAAAGCTAATGTAATTTCTTCATCTAGAATACTCTTGTTTTGTGTTCTGTAGCAAAATATCATTGACTGGGGGATTTGTAATAAAGTTATTATCTTTTGGAGGCTGGAAGTCCGAGATCAAGGAAACCACATCCTGTGAGGGCTTTCTTACCTGATCACATGGCAGAAAGCTGTCACATGGTAACATAGAGCATGCAGTCAAACTCTTAGCCTTGAGCCCTTACAATGGGCTAAACCCACATGTAAAGGTGGATTCTCATGACCTAAATCTTTCCCATCAGATGCACCTCAAACCCTTCTGCATGTTAGGACTGTGTTTCCTATACACATGGTTTGGGGCACACTGTCAGACTTAGCAAATAACCTTGACAATAAGCTGTGTGCTTGAAGTGGAGATCACCCTCACTTCTTAAAAAGTGGTCTTTGTCCCTGAAAGCATTCAAATGAAACTGTTTGGCCAGTTGTCTGGCTTATCTGGAAAAGATCCTTGGATTTGGTGTCACATAAATCATCAAGTCTGCATTCTTAAGGTTGTTGCTTGGCTTGCTTGTTTGAGAACTTTAAAAAAGCAACTCAGATGCTGTCACAGCATTTTAAATGTCCCTTAAGTTCAGTAATGCTTATTTTAGAATGATGTCCTCATTATTTTATTCACATTACTTGAGAGTTTATTTATTGAGAGCCTGTGAGTAATAAGTGAAAGCATATTTGCAAGATTTTCTTTTCTCAGCTAAACATGCATAAAGACCTCCTTCATTGCAGTAGAATGTGAAGCTTACCCTTGAGCAGGGCCCTGCTCCATGGCAGGTGCCTTGTACCGTGACTCTAGTCTTTGGTCAAGCAGGCATGCGCTTCCAGGGACCCTCTCTCCGGTTCTCTTGGCTTTAGTTCTCTTTGTGGAAGAATCCAGTGGGAAATAGAAAGCTCAGGGTCTCCTCTCATCTAGAAATGTGGATTCTGATGTGGCCCTTGGGGAAGGTGTGTTAATCCTCTCGGGCACTCATGAGGCAGAGTCTGTATTTTCAGTTAGGTGCCGTGTCTTAATGCTCTTTAACTCTCTCACTCTTTTTTTTATGGGTGTGACGGGCTCTTACCGTGTCGTCTAGGTGAGCCTGTAACCCTTGGTCCTTCTGCCTTGGCCTCCTGAGCACTGGGATCACAGGTGTGCACCACCACACTCCTGGATTAGCGACTTTTCTTGCTGCTGCAACTAAACACCTGAGGAGGAAGGGTGTGCTCTGGCTTTCCGCCCCAGGGAAAGTGATCACGTGGGAAGGTGCAGCTACAGTACCCCAGGCTGCCGTCAGATTGTGCCCACAGGTGCGAATTCAGTCCAGGACTCCCTCCTATGGAGTTGGTGCCGTCCACAGTTGAGGTGATTCTTCCCACCAGAGTGAAGCTAAGCTAGCTAATACCTCAGAGGCTTGTCTCCTAGGAAGTTCTAGATTCTGTCAAGTTGACAAACGTTGTTAGCCATTACACCCAACTTCTTTCTCTCTCTTTCTTTTTTTTTTAGTTAAAAATTTTTCATATGGGCTGGAGAGATGGCTCAGAGGTTAAGAGCACTGGCTGTTCTTCCAGAGGTCCCGAATTCAATTCCCAGGACCCATATGGTGGCTCGCAACCATCTGTAGTGAGATCTGATACCCTCCTCTAAATAAATAAATAATCTTTTTTTGTGTTTTGTTTGTTTGTTTTTTGAGACAGGGTTTCTCTGTGTAGCTTTGCGCCTTTCCTGGAACTCACTCTGTAGACCAGGCTGGCCTCGAACTCACAGAGATCCGCCTGGCTCTGCCTCCCAAATTCTGGGATTAAAGGCGTGCGCCACCACCACTCGGCATAAATAACCTTAAAAAAGAAAGAAAGAAAGAAAAAACAACAAAACAGGTTTTTTTAAAAAAAAATTTGTTTTCATACAATATATTTCCTCTATATTTTCTCGTAACCCCAGCTTCAGCTCTGCTCTGTGTGATGTTTATACATCTCAGCCTTCTTGTTTCAATCCCCGACACTAAAAGGAAAAACAAGAGACGAAATGATCATAAATTCATAAATTGCTCTTTACTACTTATTCTGTGGGTCTTTTGGTGAAGGCCTGGTTTATTCCCTTACCATAGTCTGTTAACAAAAGTGGGACACTAGTGCTAACCACAGGCACCAGTGTGATCTACCAAAATGATTGCGGTGCAGGCTGTCTTCAAATAACCCCTAAAAGTGCTGCTTACTATAGTTAGGACATTTTGGTTTTGGTTTTTCGAGACAGGGTTTCTCTGTGTAGCTTTGCGCCTTTCCTGGAGCTCGCTCTGTAGCCCAGGCTGGCCTCGAACTCACAGAGATCCGCCTGGCTCTGCCTCCCGAGTGCTGGGATTAAGGGCGTGCGCCACCATCGCCCGGCCAGTTAGGACTCTTGAGGTTTTACAGTTATTGGCCTTTAAAAAGTGGAGAGCCGTACAGAAAATATTACTTGTGACTCCTGCTCTCTCAGCAGTAATGATCAGGAGCCTAAAAGAGGCCATTGCCAGGTGTAGCCCCCTGTGTCCCCCGCCTCAAGGCAGAGCTAGTGCTGGGACAGAGGGAGAAAGGAGACATCTCA